TGCAGAAACGCTATCTCCACTAAAAATATGAAAATAAATCAGGCGTGGTGGTGAATGCCTGTACTCCCAGCTACTCGGGAGGCTGAGGCAGAGAATCACTTGAACCAGGGAGTTGGAGGTTGCAGTGAGCCAAGATCGCACCACTGCACTCCAGTCTGGGCAACAAGAGCGAGACCCCATCTCAAGAAAAAAGGAAAAAAAGAAACAAGCAGGGGATTTAGAGCTGAGAAGAAGTTTCCCTGCCCCATTCCAGCCTCGACTTCAGAGTTAAGGCCTCTGGGCTCCCTGCAAGACCCACAGTGACGGGGTTCTGAGGCAGACCCCCAAAGAGCCTGTTGGCACCAGCCCCTTCCCAGCTGGTGCCCAGTCCCTGCCCCCAGGGCTGTCTGCCGGGACCCCTGTGACGCAGCCCCTTCCCCCGCAGTTGGCCTCTACACCTCCATCTTTGGCGTGCTCCAGCTGCTGTGCCTGCTTACGGCGCCCGTCATCGGCTACATCATGGACTGGAGGCTGAAGGAGTGTGAAGACACCTCCGAGGAGCCTGAGGACAAAGACGCCACCCAGTGCGTAGGCCCCCAGAGCCCTCAGCCCTGCACAGAGACCCCAGAGCTGCATGTCAGGCAGGCGGGGGTGGGCAGGTGGGAGGGAGAGAGGGCTGTACTCCAGCTCCTGTCCGGGTCCTTCCACTCACTCACTCACTCAGCTCAGCTCCCCTCTTTATGGAAATTTATTAAGCTGCTCCCCTCTTTATGGAAATTCCTTGGTATGCTGAAGTTTGAGGCTGAGTCTGCTGACTCATGCCTATAATCCCAGCACTTTGAAAGGCCGGGGCAGGAAGATCACTTGAGGCCAGGAGTTCGAGACTAGCCTGGCAAACATGGCCAGGCCCCCAATCTTTACAAAAATTTAAAAATTGGCCAGGCCTGGTGGTTCATGCCTACAATACCAACACTTTGCAAGTTCGAGGTAGGTGAACTGCTTGAGCCCAGGAGTTAGTGACCAGCCTGGGCAACGTGGTAAAACCCTATCTCCACCAAAAAATACAAAAGTGAACCAGGTGTGGTGGTTCACACGTGTAGTCCCAGCTACTAAGGAGGCTGAGGTGAGGATGCCAGAGCCTGGGGAGGTTGAGGCTGCAGTGAGCTGTGATCCCACCATTGCACTCCAGCCTGGGCGACAGAGTGAGACCGTGTTTCAAAAACATTTAAAAATCAGCCAGGCATGGTGGCAGCTACTTAGGTGGCTGAGGCAGCAGGGCTGCTCGTGAGGCTGCAGTGAGCTGTGATCGTGCTGCTGCACTCCAGTCTGGGTGACACAGCAAGACCATGTCTCAAAAAAAAGTTTAAGCCAGGCATGGTGGCTCATACCTGTAATCCCAGCATTTTGGAAGGCCCAGGCAGGCGGATCACAAAGTCAGGTGTTTGAGACCAGCCTGAACAAGGTGAAACCCTGTCCTCTACTAAAAATACAAAAATTAGCCGGGCATGGTGGCGGGCGCTTGTAATCCCAGCTACTAAGGAGGCTGAGGCAGGAGAGTCACTTGAACCCAGGAGGCAGAGGTTGCAGTGAGCCAAGATTGTACCACTGCACTCCAGCCTCGGCAACAGAGCGAGACTCTTGTCTCAAAAAAAAAAGAGAGCATTGAGCAAGATGAAAGAAAGAGAGACAGCAGGTGAAAGTGTGTGGAGAACGGAGAGCAAAGCATCCTGCTCCTGAGAGCATCCCCCGCCCGCCCCTTGGCAGTGGTACGTACGCCATCTTAAAGGCGCCCCACTTGTCTGCAGGGTTTATCCACTAAGTTTGAGTAGTATGTTGCTATAAGCATAGTATGTGTTAATAGAGTCTTTCATGATTGTGAAGCTGAAACAAGGCCCAGGAGTCCCACTGTACGTAAGGGACAGGCTCTAAGATCAGAGGATGAGTTAAACACTGTGTTCTAGAACTCCACCTTCATATAATAAGCTACGGTTTATTGCATGAGGTGCTCTGCCGAGCAATTAATGCACAGAATCTCGGTGAAGGCTCCCAGCACCGCGGGGAATTGCTAGACCCATTTTAAAGATAAGGGAACTGAGGCTGGGAGGTTGAGTGGTTTGCCTGGGGCCACACAGGAGGTGGGGGGCCTGGGACTCCCTGTAAATCTCTGAGTACCTGGGGTCCACTCCTGGATGCTGTGTTATCACCCGGGTGTCTGCGTGGGTGTGAGGCTGGGATCGCTAATAGTTAATTCACCAGGCGGTAATTACAGAGAGAGCTCTGCTAGCTAGGTTAGCTCCTGCAGCCAGGAGGTTATTTCTGCCCACTCCAGTTCCACTCCGGTTCTGCTGCCTGCCCGTTTCCCCTTTACCCTCTCCTGCCCTGCCGCCAAGGGGAAACCCATTCACTCCCTTATTTGGCTTATATCTGGCTTATTATCGGCCTCCTGGAAGATTTGGGTGAACCTGAAGCCAGTTGTGAAGTGAGGCTTTGCCATGTGCCAGCCCAGGCACAGTCTGCTCCTTCCCTCCCTGTCATCTTAGCCCTTCACAGCAGCGCTGCAGCGTATCAATGGCCATCTTCTCATACCTGAGACCCCACTCCATTGAGAGGGACCAGGGAGTGCCCGCAGTGCTGGTCTAGCCCCGACACAGTCCCTAAAACCTGCCCAGGTGGCTTCTGAGTCTTGCGTCAGTTCACGTGCTGAGACTCTTGGGGCCTGACTTCTCAGGAGCACCAGCTTCCTCCCGGGAGCCCTCCCACCTTTTCATGTTCTGTGTCTCTGCAGAAGCGAGAAGAAGATAACGCGGGACCGGCAGATCCAGAAGATCACTAATGCCATGCGGGCTTTCGCCTTCACCAACGTGTTGCTTGTGGGCTTTGGGGTGACCTGCCTCATTCCCAACCTGCCTCTACAGGTGGGTTTGGGGAGCAGGAGGGGCCACAGGGAGTTCCGGGCAATAAGAAGGAACGTGTGAAGGCTCAAATGTGTGGGCTGGGCGCAGTGGCTCACACCTGTCATCCCAGCACTTTGGGAGGCCAAGGCGGGTGGATCACCTGAGGTCGAGAGTTCAAGACCAGCCTGACCAAACACGGAGAAGGCCCGTATCTACTAAAAATTCAAAATTAGCCAGGTGTGGTGGTGTGTGCCTGTAATCCTAGCTACTCGGGAGGCTGAGGCAGGAGAATCGCTTGAACCCAGGAGGTGGATTGCACCACAGCACTCCAGCCTGGGTAACAAGAGCGAAACGTCTCAAAAAAAAAAAGTGTATAATGTTTCATGGACACCATCAAAAAGCAGATGGTGATTTTCATTCGTTCATTCAACCAAGCAGCCCACCAGCCCTTGGCTGTCCGCAGAGGGTATGTCACCCGCCAGGCTCTGCTCGCTGCTGGATTGCCGCTACACGGGCACTCCTCTCCAGGAAGCCACATTGGTCTTGGTTTTGGGGGCATGGTGCAGCACCACTGATGCCACCATCATCCCATTTCCCGGAAGTGCGTGGGGTTGCTGTGGGGTTGTTTTGTATCGGCTCAGACAGCTGGAAGCTGATGTCCAGAGAGGTCTGGCTGATCTGTGGTGTTGGTGGGAACCTCTGCCCCCGTTACCAGCATCTCACAGGGTTTCTACACTGAACAGAGTGGAGAAAGACCTGATGGTGGCCTCAGATCTGGATTCAAAAGCTTCATTCGAGGCTGGGCACGGTGGCTCATGCCTGTAAGCCCAACACTTTGGGAGGCAGAGGCAGGTGGATTGCTTGAGGTGGATCCTTTCTCTACAAAAAATACAAAAATTAGCCAGGCGTGTTGGTGGGCTCCTGTAGTCCCAGCTGCTCGGGAGGCTGAGACAGGAGAATCACTTGAACCCGGGAGGCGGAGGTTGCAGTGAGCCGAGATTGCGCCACTTCACTCCAGTCTAGGCCACAGAGTGAGACTCTGTCTCAAAAAAAAAAGCTTAATTTGTTTGCCCAACTTCTGAGGCTTCTGCAACCCGACGTTTGGCAGAGATTTTGGGTAAGGTGGACTTTGTCACTGTCCCTCCCCCACCTCCCCGCAGATCTGTGAAGTGGGCTGGCAGGAGGTGTGGCACAGTCCTTACATTTACAGATGGTGGAAGGACACGAGTGACACTCTTGCTTCCAGATAGGTGTATCCAGATGGTATCTCAGGTCAAGTCCAGGAGGGAAGTAAGAGTCCCTCCCTTCTTACAGGTGGCCAGCTATTGAGGGGCGCTCAGCACCCAGGTGTGCCCCGCCCTGGGGAAGTTTATGTGCGTGCTGACACTGGGTGTGCAGACCACAGTGACCCCATGAATGTTTGTGCTGCCCCGGGGGGTGGGGTGCTGCAGCCCTCCTGCCCTCCCTGGCCTCCCAGGTGGCTTTCTCTGCAAGATGGGCAGACCTTTGCCCTGACCACCTTGTCCAGTCAAGGGGCAGTGCTCAGTGGAGACAGTCATCTCCTTTTTGCTCTTGCTGAAAGAAAAGCTGTAAAACGGCAACAAGGCATTTGAGGCAGGTGTGTGTGCATGTGTGCGTGTGTGTGTGCGTGTGTGCCTGTGCGTGTCTGTGTGCATGTGTGTGTGTGCCTCTGTGTGTGTTTATGTGCATGCATGTGCATGTGCGCGTGCATGCGTGTGTGTGCATGTGTGTGCCTGTGTATGCATGCAATGTGTGTGTGTGCATGTGTGCCTGTGCCTGTGTATATGCGTGCATGCATGTGTGTGTGCATGTGCATGTGTGTGTTCTTGTGTATGTGTGCATGCATGTGTGTGTGCCTATGTGTATGTGTGCATGTATGTGTGTGTATGTGCATGTTCATGTGTATGTGTACGTGTGTGTGCCTGTGTGTATGCGTGCATGCATGTGTGTGCATGTGCCTGTGTATGCGTGCATGCATGTTTGTGTGTGGCTGTGTGTGTGGCTGTGTGTGTGCATGTATGTGCCTGTGTGTGCATGTATGTGCCTGTGTGTGCATGTGTGTGCCTGTGTATGTATGCATGCATGTGTGTGCATGTGCTTGTGTGCATGTGTGTGTGCATGTGTTTGTGTGCATGTGCGTGTGCCTGTGTATGCGTGCATGCATGTGTGTGTGTGCATGTGCATGTGTGTGTGCGCATGTGCATGTGCCTGTGTGTATGCGTGCATGCATGTGTGTGTGTGCATGTGCACACTGGGCACAGCCCTCAACATGGCAAAGAACAGCCCCTCCCCCTCCCCCTCCGCATTCCTGGGAACAGGTCCTGGCTGCTGAGCAGGATGGCAGGGCTGTGTACAAAAGACAAAAAAAGGCAACCACAGGGACCTGGCAGCCAAGAGGATGGCTCTCGCGCCTGCCAGTAAAAAGTGCCTCTTGGAGCTTGCGAGGCCTGCCAGCAGCAGCCGTCCTGGGCAGGGGCCCTCCCACAGACAGCAATAGGACCTCAGGAGGGACCAGCCTGGGCCACATGGCAATGCCCTGTCTCTGCTAAAAATAAAAATGAGCCGGGTGTTGGGACGCACAACTGTAGTCCCAGCTACTGAGGAGGCTAAGGTAGGGGAATCTTGGCTCACTGCACCCCGGGAAGTTGAGGCTGCGGTGAACTGAGATCACACCAGGGTACTCCAGCCTGGACAACTGGAGTTAGACCTTGCCTCAAAGAAAATTAGCCAGGCATGGTGGCACATGCCTGTAATCCCAGCTGCTCTTGAGGCCGAGGCAGGAGAATCGCTTGAACCCTGGAGGCGGAGGTAGCAGTGAGCTGAGATCACGCCACTGCACTCCAGCCTCGGGGATAGAGGGAGACTGTCTCAAAACAAAATAAAATAAACCACACACACAAGGAAGAAACACTTCAGTAGGGAGGTGAGAGGGCAGCCACCCACTGGGAGTGCAGGGGCAGCTGGCGTGGAGACCTTGGTGCACAGTCCGTGGTGGGCAAAGGCAGCCCGAGGCGTGCTCAGCCACCTCCTCCCACTCAGCGTTATGCCCACACATCTAGCAGCGCCGGGGCCCTGAGTTAGTGTTTGCAGATTTCTGTGGTGTACCTGGTCTCAGCATGGCTGATTTCAAGCCACCCATGTGATGTTACTGATGTGGAATTGGAAGGAGCTTCACAGTCACATGGTGTTTCTACCCATAGATCTACAGCAGATGGAAAAGCCTGAAATGCTCAGACTGGTGACCAAGTGCAGTGATTAGGAAGGGATGAGGCTTTCTCTGTGTGTGTGTGTGTGTGTGTGTGTGTGTGTGTGTGTGTGTGTGTGTGTGTTTTTGAGATGGTCTCACTCTCATCGGCTAGGCTCCACTGCAGTGGTGGGACCTTGGCTCACTACAGCCTTGACTTCCTGAGCTCAGGTGATCCTCCCACCTTAGCCTCCTGAGTAGCTGGGAATACAGGCATGTGCCACCAAGCCCAGCTCATTTTTATATTTTTTGCAGAGATGGGGTCTTGCCACGTTGCCCAGGCTGGTCTGGAACTCCTGGGCTCAAGCGATCCTCCCCATCCCCCCAAAGTGCTGGGATTACAGGCGTGAGTCACTGTACCAGGCCAGCGAGTGATGAGTTTTAAGTATTCATTACCTTTATTTTAATATAATTTATTTATTTAGTCATAAATGTATATAATTTAGTTAAGTTATTTTTTTGACATGGAGTCTAGCTCTGTCACCCAGGCTAGAGTGTAGTGTTGTGATCTCGGCTCACTGCAACTTCCACCTCCCGGGTTCAAGCGATTCTCCTGCCTCAGCCTCCCGAGTAGCTGGGATTATAGGAGTCTGCCACCATGCCCAGCTAATTTTTGTATTTTTAGTAGAGATGGGGTTTCACCATGTTGGCCATGCTGGTCTCGAACTCCTGACCTCAAGTGATCCACCCACCTCAGCCTCCCAAAGTGCTGGGATTATAGGCATGAGCCACCCAGCCTGTAATTTTATTTTATTTATTTATTTAGAGACGGAGTTTTGCTCCTGTTGCCCAGGCTGGAGTGCAGTGGCTCGATCTTGGCTCACCGCAACCTCCGCCTCCCAGGTCCAAGCATTCTCCTGCCTCACCCTCCCAAGTAGCTGGGACTACCGGCACACGCCACCATGCCAGCTAATTACTGTATTTTTAGTAGAGACGGGGTTTCACCATGTTGACCAGCATGGTCTCAATCTCTTGACCTTGTGATCTGCCCGCCTCGGCCTCCCAAAGTGCTGGGATTACAGGCGTGAGCCACTGCGCCCGGCCTTATTTATTTTTTGAGACTGAGTTTCACTCTGTCATCCAGGCTAGAGTACAGTGGCCTGATCTTAGCTCACTGCAACCTCTGCCTCCTGGGTTCCAGCGATTCTCATGCCTCAGCCTCCCAAGTAGCTAGGATTATAGGCATCTGTCATCAAGCCTGGCTAATTTTTGTATTTTTAGTAGAGACAGGGTTTCACCATGTTGGCCAGGCTGGTCTCGAACTCCTGATCTCAGATGATTTACCCACCTCGCCCTCCCAAAGTGCTGGGATTACGGATGTGAGCCACTGAACCTGGACTATAATTTAATTTTTAATAATGACTGTGTTAATGACTGGCTTTAGAAATTTCCAAAAATTAGGCCAGGCGCGGTGGCTCAAGCCTGTAATCCCAGCACTTTGGGAGGCCGAGGCGGGTGGATCACGAGGTCAAGAGATCGAGACCATCCTGGTCAACACGGTGAAACCCCGTC